GAAGGTGCTGCTCCAGATCTCAGTATGTTTGTTGAATTAAAAGAGGAACTAAGGGCAGAGCGGACAGAGGTATTTGTTTCCGAGGAGACTGAAGTTGTAAAAGTGCATAGGGTGGTATTCTGGCTTTTGAGCTCAGATTGTCACTTCTTTACTTTTGTCCTTAATTATAGAATACATAAATCAACTTTATCATATTTTAGATCGAAGCAATTATCCAAATTGTCTTAGAACTTACATTGAAAGTAACTGAAATGGATGATGTTTGTTACTTCTGTTTCCTTCTGTCATTAATGGATTATTAGTACTGTTTATGGTAACAATTGAAAGTGATGTTGGAAGTTTGGTCCTGGGTTGGTTGACATTATTTTGGGAGGTTGTGGAACCTAGCTGGGGACATGTCTATGAAGGTTCTATCTACATCCCAGTCAATAAAAATGGGGAATGAGGAAGAGATTCCTTTTCATGTAATTCTGCCACTATGATGGTCTTCTCAACAATTCATATACCAAACTTATGTGTGATCAACAAACCATAGACCAAAGTCTATGAAGTTGCTATCAAAAGAAGCCCTTTTTTCCCCCTGTAGATTGTTTACATCTGGCATTTGGCTATAACTGCTGATAACACTAATTTTCTCAGGACCCCCCAAAATTTCTCAAGTTGAGAAATTTTCTACCAACCATTGGTTTCACTGGTTATAGACATAGTGGCAGGAGAAGGAACTGTGGAAAGAGCACTTACTAATGGTCATAATCAGTTTCCAGAAGAAAACGAAGGACTGCCTTTCATTTCATGGTGAAGGAAAGCCGTCACTAAGAAGATTCTCACTGGAAGCAACGACACAAAAGGTTACATCCTCAAAAAATAGTTGAATGTTAGTCCATGAACTAATGGAAGGGTACCACGGAAGAGATGAGGGATGCACACCCACAGACAAGTTGAGGATGCATGTCTTTCTCTAAGTGCAGGTCTACCAGGGCTCTGCACTGAGCAGCTTCCTTCCCCAAGTGCTGCTCTGTGTTCTGATGTTCTTCTTCTTCTTCTTCTTTTTTTTTTTTTTAAAAGCCCACTGTGTTGGTCAAAGGAATGAATCCCCACATAGATGTTTCTAACGAATGTGACTACTTCTCATCAGAGTCCTGTGGTATGACATTAGTCCACAATAAATAACAACCTCCTTTTGTGTCTTGGAAGCAGGAAATAGAAACAATGAGTGTACCAAACAGTTAAAGAGTGATGGAAGGTGACAGAACTAGAGAGACAAGTGAGTGAGATGGGGGGAACACAAAGAGGTTGAGTGCTTTGTAGCTTTGCCCCCCATCTCCTGCAGTCTTCACTTCAACCCGCATCTGACCTCACAGTTTCTTTCCTTCTGAGACTCATTTGGCTTTGCTCCAGGAAGAAACCACAGCAGAACGGACTTGAAAGTTAATAACTGTTTAAGTAATCCGGCACAAGGTGACCTTTCACTAGAATTTGGGAGGTGGGAGGACTTTATTGACTCAGTATTCAACAAATATTTGCCAAGCCCCTTTCATGTATACCATGATCGTGCCACTTGGGAGCATCTATGACGTACAGCTGTTCAAGCTTTCACTCCCAGCCTTCAATTTATAATCTCTATCTTTCAATAACATCACACGTTTTGTTGAGGAAATGCTCTCCCTTCAGTGTATGTATTTTTGTAGGGCAGGAACATCCAGGTTTGTACTTCGTAGTGTGGGGCTTGATGGACAGAAGGTCCAGAAAAGACTTGCTCGATCCTGACCAGGTAGGAAGTCTTTACTGGCTCAAGTAGATGAATCAGACAAATACAGTGCAATATTTGGTACTCACTCATTGTGACTGGAATGATGACCCAAATGGTCCTGATGTGGAGTTACTAACAAGGTTTACAAGGTATTCTCATTCTTTTCTTGTTTTTTTTCAGGTCTCCATTTTATTTCACTAAAAAGGTAATTTCTCTCTCTCTCTCTCTCTCTCTCTCTCTCTCTCTCTCTCTTTTACAGTGTTATCACACATGCATACATAGTAGATTCATGCGTGCGCGTGCACGCACACACACACACACATTCATGAGGACTTGAAAATAAATAGAGAAATAAAAGGGGCAGGAGAGCCTCTCAGAAAAGCAAGTTGGTGTTTTTGAAAGTTCAAAGTCATTATATTTTGGCCTTTTCTGTCATTACATCATGAACAGGCATGATCTATTGAATGACTTTTGCTTTTCAAACAGATCAAAAGTGGAAACATTAGATATTGGCCTTATAGAAGCATAGCACATTTTCTACAAAAGCAGATTCAGGAATACCTTTGTGTTGACACAGATTCAAATTGGTTCTGTAAAAGATCTAGGACATGACTTTCAAGAGATTCTGTACATTATGCTTTTAGTTAAAAAAATCCAAGAGAAAATATTGGTTACTGTGACAGTAACAATTAAGTCTTCATGGCTGCTAGAAATCAGATAAGGCTAAAAATAAAGAATTGTGCTTAGGAAATATTTTGAAAAACAAATGTCTTAATAATTGACATGTAATGCACATGGGTACGAAGGGTTGTCTACACTCTTGTAGAGTTTGAACTTGAATAATCATCCCATAAACTCACATTTGGGATTATGTGATGTTGATAGGGGTTTCTGGCTCACCAGGTCCCACAGTCATTAAGTCCCAAAGAAATGCACAGAAGTCTACATTAATCATAAACTCTTAGCTCAGGCTTCCTATGAACTCTTTCTTACATCTTATATTAGCCCGTTATTCTTATCTGTGTTAGACACGTGGCTTGGTACCTTTTTCGGTGAGGCAGTCACATCTTGCTTGCTTTGTGTCTGGATGACGACTGTAGACTGACTCTTTCCTATTCCCAGAATTCTCTTGTTCTCACTGCCCAGTCTATACTTCCTGCCTGGTTGCCCCACCTATACTCCCTGCCTGGCTACTCAATAATCAGCGTTTTATTAAAATACAATTGACAGGGTGCAGACTATTATCCCACAGCAATTTGATACTCCTAATCTGTATAAATCTCTTGCAGTTGGTCAAGGAATTCTGCAGAAAAAAACAAAGTAGTCTCCCACCTTCTTCACTAACAATGCCTAACAAGGAGTTTCTGAGAGCCAGCTAACTGAATATATGCCTGACTTCCTCTACAGTTGTAGACCAAGTGGATGCATCAGTATACCTAGTCAGGTTATGTGCAAAATAAAAATCCAACCTCATGTTTCATGTCTGGATCACAGTTCATCTTGTCATTTACAAGGTGAATGAAGTATGACCCCAGAATAGATACAGCCATTAGAAAGTCCCTTAGGTTAGTCTTTACAATCCTCCCCTTCTCACTTCTCTCTCCCCATCTCCCTTAACCCCCATCCCACCTTACCCCCAAGATCCCAGTTTTTGCCCAGCAATCTTGTCTACTTCCAGTATCCAGGAGGATAACTATATGTTTTTCTTTGGGTTTACCTTCTTATTTAGCTTCTCTAGGATCACAAATTATAGGCTCAATGTCCTTTACTTATGGCTAGAAACCAATTATGAGTGAGTACATCCTATGTTCATCTTTTTGGGTCTGGGTTACTTCATTCAGGATAGTGTTTTCTATTCCCATCCATTTGCATGCAAAATTCAAGATGTCATTGATTTTTACTGCTGAATAGTGCAGCACGCCGCTCCCGCCAGCAGAAGAGACGACTGCAACAGGATTCTTCTCAGAACACACTTTATTGGAGCACTTACACTTGAGGTTGTAGAGAGGTAAAAGACCCCGTCCCCGTGAAGCAGAAGAATATATACGGTGCCAGACAAAGCCCTGACGTGTCATCAACCCAATGGCTCAGGCCAGAATGGAGTGATCGTGCTTAAATTATGATTGGCCAGATTGG